TTGATTAGCTTTGTATGTCTATATGTGTTTTCATGAGAAACTACATTGAAGATCTCAATATGTAATACAATAAGCATTGTTAATTCCCTACCACTCTGTTTGTAACTCTGCAACGTCTGTACTGATCCTTTGCTATTTTGTAAAACGTTGTCGATCTGTTAGCATTTTCCTCTTTTTATTTCTAAAATAAAAAAAAAATGAAGTAGAGTCCTGTTAGCTCCTGCATTAGTCGGAATCCGCTTTTTATCTATTTTGCAGAGGAAAAGCCCATTTTAGTGGTCCATAGACTAGTCATTATGTCTTGGTTAGATCAAACCTGTCTTACCATTCCCAGCAAGTGCCAAAGGGAATTGTTTGTCTAACAGAGTTCAGGAGATTCAGAGCAGTCATCTCTGACTCACTAATCCTGTGCACTTGCCAGTAGTTCGTAAACACAACAACCGTCAGAACCAATGCTTTCACATTAAACACACTAACCACCAATATGTTGGAAAATCACAGGAGAAAATGCCAGCAGTAGTGACACTTCACTGTATTCACAAGTAATTGGGAGGCTGAGGCAAGAATGTTGTTTGACCTCAGGACATTGCTCCCAACCTTGAGACATAACAACCTTGTCTGCAGGAAAAGGAAGATGAAACATTGGAAAAGAAAGAACAAAAAACAAACATACTTATTGTGTATGATCTGGAACATAAAATAGGAATGGGAAGACTTCCTATGACAGGAAGATGTTCCAACTCCTAACACTTCCAGCCCTGTTCCCAAAAGTGGGGAGCTACTGGAGGTAATACTTGTGGCTCTACCAGGGAACAACGAAGTAAGAAATCATCTCAGAGACCCTCTCTTCTCACAGATGCAAAAGTCATCTCCTAGAATCCTGTGACACTGCGCAAAATCCCCTTCTTAATTCTGTGTGACTTTGGCTATGGTATTGTGGTGGTAATACCTGAAAACAGAGAATGTGCGTGTGAAGTAGACTTCACTTGGATGATAACAATCTCACTGAACATTGCTCCCTTATTCCTGGCCTGCCTTGCAGCTCCACAGCTCATTGGACATTCTTGGTATCAAAGCAAGAGATAGATGTTATTTGAGTATAATTGAGTACATACAACATGAAGCTTCCCAAGCTGCTGAGATAGAAATAACACGGGGATATAAAAACCTTGATTCATAAAGAAGGAAATATGATCTTACTCTGGACATTAGGAAAGGTGTTGTTTTCTTCAACATCATATACTGAACTCAATCCAATGATTTGGGTGAGCTTCCATTGGAGATCCCTCACAGTCACTCAGAGGCAGGTCGGGTATAAGAAGGAGCGTGTATAATGAAAAAAGGTAGAAGGCATTACCTTCCCCAAGTTCTAACTCTGAACGTGAGAGCCTAAAAGTGTGAAATAGAATGATCTTTCCTATTTTCCAAAAAAAACAGATAAAGAGAGCAGTTAAAGATGTAAGAAAGTATGGAGCATTGTGTGGAAGTGTGAGTAGGAAGGACAGCTTACAGCTACACGTAGAGAGCATTGCTTTGTACAATTCAAAGACCCCCCAGGGCAAAAGCGGTCATGGTGCTCAAACAGAAAATGAGTAAAGAAGAACACACTCACTGCATGATAAGCACGTCCTTGCTAGGCTTCATACCAGTGGCCTCAATGAAATACGTGTAAGAATAAAGGGAGAAAAATGCTCCAACTACCAGGTCTCCATCCTTGTGCACGCTGGTGCTCCTGCTGAAAACACAGTCATCGTTAGCCAAACTGCACTCCGAGACCAGCACCTGCAGGAAGAGGAAGATGAAACTCAAAGGCACCATCCTCTAGGTGTGCAGAGAACCTTGAGCCTGAATAAAAGTGCGACTTGCAATGTCAGCCGGGTAATGTGCACAGCATCTGTATGTAAGAAATCGTGTATGTATGTGTGTTTTATTGTTTGGCTATAAGTGAATGAATGCATTTAATGATCCTATTTTTTTTTTTTTTTTTTGCCAAACCTCATCCATTCCCCAGAGGAATTTTCCACTATTTCTTCTGAAGATCTGTACCTGAGGTCTGGGGTCCAGGTGAAAATAAAAAGTTGGAAAATATTTGAGGATTGTCGTCACCTCTGGGCACCATTATTTCATTCAAGTCCTCTTATAACAAGGTCCCAGGAGCTCCATCCTCTTATTTCATCCCACTTTTATGTCAACAGGCTATTTGCACGTATGCCATTCAGATGATGCAAGTGGATTGCACACGAGGATTCAAAGTGAGGTGATTGAAATGACCTGGAAAGTTCCGTGCTCACTCATGAATATGTAGGCGCTATGCCCTACCAAGTTCAAGGTAGGGGGTGCCAGCCTCACTCTCACAGGGTTCAGAGCAGCTAGAGAAGATTCTCTGTATTGCCCATGCTTGTCTGAGAATGAGTCATATGTGCCCCAAACAAGTCCCAGTCAAGTAAGTTGCCCATGGCCTAGGGAACCAGTAACTACACTGAATCTGAAAATCTCAGATTAGTAACTCAGAGTCAATGCAGAAGTAATTTGAATTTCTTTTTTTTATTTTAAAAATAAAAGGAGGGAAACATTAACAGACAGACAACATTTTACAAAATAGCAAAAGCACAGTACAGACAACACAGAGTTACAATCAAAGTGGAAGGGAATTAACAATGCTTGTTGTATTACATATTGATATCTTCAAAGTGGTTTCTCATGAACAGATATAGACATGCAATACTGATCAACCAAGGACTCATTGATAGTTTCTTTCAGCAAAGAAATAGAAGACAGTAGAACAGCCATGTTAACTATCCTGCATGTACATACATACAAAATTTCTCCTTCTTTCCCTTCTCTTTTCCCACACCCCAGGTGCCCTTTACCCTTGAGTGCTTTCCTATCATTTTACAATGTCTATAACACCTCCTAGTTTAAATTAACTCTTTCAGGTTTTACACTACTGAGACAATATGGTACTTGCACATGTATGTTTGATTTATTTCACTTATGAGTATGGTCTCTAGTTGTGACCATTTACCTATAAAAGCCTTGAGTTTATCTTTCTTTACAGCTGAGTAATATTCCATTATATAAAAGTACCACAATTTTCTTATCCAATCCTCAGTGGATGGACATTTGGGTTGTTTTCACATTTTAGCAATTACAAATTGTGCTGCTATGAACATAGGTGCACATATATCATTGTGATATGATGTTTTTAGATCTTCTGGGAAAATACCAAGCAGGGGGATAGCTAGGACCTCTAGACCTAGTTTTCAGAGGTATCTCCAAACTGATTTCCACAGTGGTTTCACCAGTCTGCATTCCCACCAGCAGTGGAGAAGGGTTCCTATTTCTCCACAGCCTCGCCAGCATTTGTTATTGGTTGATTTCTTAATGCTAGCCATTCTTACTGGGGTAAGGTGGAATCTCAGTGTTGTTTTAATTTGCATTTCTCGAATGACTAATGATGTTGAACATTTTCTCATCTATTTATTTGCCATTTGTATCTCCTTGTCTGAGAAGTGTGTATTCATCTCAGCTGCCAATTCTTGAATTGGGTCTTTGAATTTGGAGGGACTGATATTTTTTAATTCTTTATATGTTCTAGATAGAAGCCCTTTGTCTGAGGGACAATCAGTTAAAATTTTTTCCGAGTTTGTGTGTTTTCTTTTTACTTTGCTGGTGATTTCTTTAGATGTGCAGAAACTTTTCAGTAGGATGAGATCCCAGTTGTTGATTCTTTCAAGTGTTTCACGTGCATTTTGGGTTTTGAAAATAGACCAAAGCCTATCACCATGCACCAAACTCAAGTCAAAATGTTCACAGATCTCAGTATTAAACAAGAAACACTAAATCTATTGGAAGAGAAAGTAGGTAAAAACCTTGAAGACATAGGGGTAGGCAGAGAGTTCATGAATAATTTGAATTTCTGATGTCTCAACCTTCCTCCTACAATTCAGTTATTTCCAACCTTCCACGGGTCTATCCAGAATCCATCTTTACTCTTGATTTTTCCACTTAGCAACTGCACATTATGGGGCTTAATGTATTGTGCTGATCCACTTCTAAACATAGCACCTGGGGCCCTACATTACCTGCACTTTCATGAGATCACAGGACTGGGCAGGAAATGGTGAAGCCTAAAGCAAAAGAGCTAGTCTGGAAAGCACGTCTACATTTTGCACCATCAAACTTATTGAGGACAGAAGCAACACAGCGAAACTTCTACAACCCTGATATTAGGCAGAATTTTCAAAGTGGAAAAATTATTTATGATTCCCTAATGGTGAAGCACATGCAATTTTACATTTGTCAAATTATAAATAATTATAAATATGCAATTATAAATAATAGTAAAGAGTAATGCAAACCTGGACTTTATTTAAGGTCGATATGTTAATATTGACCTAAGAACTGTGAAATACAATAATAGACAAAATGGTGAAAAGGATGAGGGAAGGGCCAAAAGGGAAACGTATTTTTACCTTAATTATTATAAACTTAAAACTTTAAAAATACTGTTAAAAAATTTTCAGTAAAACCCATTTACCAACTTAATAGATGCTAACCCCTGTCATGACTGAGCATCTGAAAATCAGATAATTCAAATAAAACTGTGGTACATGTGCAATTATACATAAAATTATATTATATGTAAAATTTAAATATTTTGTATAAAAGTGAATATCTCAAAAATTGAAAAATAAAGTATATGTTAAGATAATAGCACATCAAATCTATTGATTGAAATATAACATATAATTAATATTTTAAAATGAAGGCTTCACATGACTGTTAACCTGGACTGCACAAATTGCCTTCAGTGTGCACGTGTGCGCACACACACACACACACACACACTCACACAGAATAAGAGCATAGCTTGCACCACCGCATAAAGTATGACATGCCTTACTGAGACCATGATGTCTAACTTGGGGAGACTTTGTTAGGAATTGAATTGTGTCTCCCTAGATGTTGTGTTAATCCAAGTACTTGTGAACAGCACTATGTTTGAAAATAGTGTATTTAGAGTGGAATTTGGCTGCAATAAGCCCCTTTGGAAAAGGTAGTGACTATCAGGCCAGGGGAACCTAGACCCAGTCTCTTGGATGTGCCCCACTGCAGGTACTGAGTCACTAGAAAGCTCCATTCCCATGCAGCCGCTTGAATAGGTGACCAGGTGTCTGGCTCCAGGCTCCAGCACTGACACTGTGACCTGGGTTTACTGTGCCTTCTCCGTACAAGGTAAATTAGAGCTAGACTTGCCTCTTGGGTGCTGATTCCTCTCACATGTGCCGCATAATCTTCATTAGAGTCCTCAGGGGCCTGGGCAGAAACCCACATGCAGAGGAAGATGGAGCTGTCACAAATGAAGAATCATTATAGTCTGAATTCCCAGCTGAAAGATCTAAAATGTCTGATGTCAGTTGTTCTCAGAGGACGAGGAACTGCCACAGGTAGTGGGTAGTGGTAAGGCTGCAGATTTCTGCAGTGGATCAGGGAGAAAGAAATTGCTTGTGTATCAAACCAAGAACAGGTCAATGTGAAAACCTGAGAGCAATTGCTTGAACTTAGAAGTATCTGCATGCAACATAGGCCAGGTTATCCTCGTTTTGAGTGTAATCTTACTGTGGTTCTGAAGTATGTAAAGCACTGGCTTTAATCCTGCTGTGTGTTAAACTTCATGATGGTGATGGAACTGAGAAGCTCTGTGTGAGGAAAGGGTGGTAAGTTATCATCTTTCATGAGGAAGGAAATTCTGACATGCATTACAATACAGATACAACTTGAGGATTTCATGCTAATTAAAATAAACCAGTCACAAAATTGCAAACACTATACAATAATTGTCTGTTTAGGAGGAATCTACAGTGTACCAATCTATGAAAGAAGAAAATAGAGTGGTGGCTGTGAGGGGCTGGAGAAGGAGAAATTGGAATTGGTATCTCAGAAGGAACAGAGTTTCAGTGTGAAAGATGAAAAAAAGTTCTGGGGATTGACCACCCAACAATGTGAATAGACACATGACCAGACTGCATATACTTAGAAGTAGGCACGATGTGACAACCACACTCTACTCAGCACAACTTGTCCAGCTTCTGAAACTTATCTCAGGCCCTTCTATAGTTCATAGGAAAAATCTAGATTTAGAAAACCCTAAGGTCGTTTAGCAGGAATTCCCCACCGTCAATATCCAATCCGCCCTGGTATATGATCAGGTCCTTCATCTTCCACCATTTCACAGATGATATCTAATTGCCTTGGCTTACCTTTATCAAGAATCTTGATAGCTGGTCTACCCAGAATCCATCTTTACTCTTGATTCTTCCACTTAGCAACTGCACATCCAACCTGCTCCTTGGCTGTAAATTCGTAGTGCTTATGATGTATTCAAAGTTGAGCACGACATCTTTTCCCCCACTCAAACACTTCATTGAGTTGTTCTGTGCACTTAACTCAGTCGTCCTGAGTAACACTTGCTTATCATGCATACCCAAGTGATACTGAATAATCCTTTTATTCAGTAGATAGTTATTTTGCAAATATCCCCTGAAAGTCATATTGAAGAAAACTAGAAAAATATTTATGATGTGAAATAGTTAATATTAATATCAAAAATTGATGTATTTTAAAATCTATCTATCTATCTATCTATCTATCTATCTATCGTCTATCTATCTATCTATCTATCTAGTAACTCACATTGACTTGTTACACCAAAATGCCTAATTGTGTCCAAGTAATCCACAGGACACATGTATAGTACTACAAATTTAACAATCTACAAA